GGACTTCGGAGCTGTCACCACCACAATCTTCATCTCCCCAAGTCACGACCGACCCATCGCTAAGGATAGCTGCAAATGCGCCTATGGCATAGGATCCCTGAACCTTCTGGACACCCTTGAGCTGATCTTGCACGTGAGAGCTGTCACCACCAAGACCTGAAGGTCCCCAAGTGACAACCCGGTCACCTCCAGGGCAAAACAACGCAAAAGCTCGGTCTTCGCTAGCCTTGCCTCTACGGCAATAGCTGTCAGATGGTCTCCATCTTCAAGTCCTGCAGCTTGTAGAGACACTGCAGGATCTACCACGCTATGGTCTGCAGCCACAAGCCTCAAGAAGCCACGTTTGAATAATTTCTGCGCCAGAATCCTCAAGTCCCCTACTTTGGAGGACGGTTCAAGCGAAAATGTCTTGTCTTGCCCGCTTGGCAAAGCTACAGTAACTTGAACCATGTCAAGAAACTCAAATGCACCGGTTTCTCGAATTGATTTTGAGCCTAACTTCGGCACATTCCGAGGAAAATATCATCGAACTACCATCCTGGAAACACGTTTCTATATTCTTGGGGGACCTCGGGACCCTATAAATTTGGAGACTGATTGGAAGATTGGCTGATTTGTCACCCAGCCATCGAAAGCGTACAACCAGCCAAAAGTCGGATTTAAGCATCAAAAGTAGTGAAAAAAAACGGTTGATGAGTTCCTGAATGAGGATTTCCCCATCATTTAAATTTAAAGAGTTTTGATTCCAAAACGTAGCAGAAATCGTCCAAAATCGATTGGAAAATCATTTGCTACAGTAGAATGTGGAGATGCAAAAAGTGAAATCATCCGATTTTCCTGGCTGTCAACCCTGGTTTGGATTGAAGCAGCAATTCAAAAATTGGAATTTGACCAAAAGTTGTTATTCTTGTGGTGATTATTCAAATTTAACCATACTTCCAAATTTGGTCATATCCATTTTATATAAATATACCAGTAGTACCCGCACGAGGCGGGGCGGAAGTTGCCTTAGGGATATATATATATATTAAAGAAAAAGACCTTTCTCATCTATAGAACTTGCATGCGCCGTGCGCCAGCCAAGCCCGTGCGTGCGTCCACTCTGCGAAAGTGTTGTCCTGTTTCACATGTCACATTTGAAGCTTCACTTCGCACTTCACACTTCTCACTGCGCTCTTCCCACTCCACACTTCACACTTCACACTCCACACTTCACACTGCACTCTTCCCACTCCACACTTCACACTTCACACTCCACACTTCACACTTCACACTTCACAGTCCACACTTCACACTTCTCACTTCTCATTGCTTTCTTCACACTCCACACTTCACACTTCACACTGCACTCTTCACGCCCCACACTTCACACTTTACTCTTCACACTCCACACTTCATCTCATCTGAGCTCTTCTCACCTTATCCCAGCTCATCTCTTCTCATCTCATCTCTTCTCATATGTCATCTAAGCTTCCATGAATCACTTCCCAGAGAACTTGCATGCACCGTGCGCCGGCCAGGCCCGTGTGTGCGTGCTTTGTGCGAAGCTGTTGCAGTGTTGCTGTCCAAGAACATGACTCGCGCGCGACCCCGGTGCAATGCAACGTCAAGCAAACACTTTCCTCGCACTTCACCTTGCACTCTTCACACCCCACACTCCACACTTCACACTTGCACTTCATCTCAACTCAACTCATCTCATCTGAGCTCTTCTCATCTCATTTCATGTCTTCCCATATGTCAGCTAAGTTCTTCTTGGCTAGTTTCACGCTATCTGAGCGCAGCTCAACCTTTCTCATCTCACCGAAGCTAGTCTCCACTCATCTCGGCACTTCTGCACGTCAGAAAGCTTGAGACACAGATGCATTTACACAGAACGGTCTTTACAAAATACTTTGTACTACAAAGCTTGCACAAAGCACGTCCCAGTACTACTTTGTTCTACAAAGCTTGCAAAAAGCACTTCTTTGTACTACAAAGCTTGCACTTCCAGTATTACTTTGCACTACAAAGCTTGCACAAAACACTTCCCAGTACGACTTTGTACTACAAAGCTTGCACAAAGCACTTCCCAGTACTACTTTGTACTACAAAGCTTGCACAAAGTATTTCCCAGTATTACTTTGTACTACAAAACTCGCGCAAAATATTTCCCAGTACTACTTTGTACTACAAAGCTTGCACAAACTACTTCCAGTACTACTGTGTACTACAAAGCTTGCACAAACTACTTCCCAGTACTACTTTGTACTTCAAGGCTTGCACAAAGTATTTCCTCCCAGTACTACTTTGTACTACAAAGCTTGCACAAACTACTTCCCAGTACTACTTTGTACTACAAAGCTTGCACAAAACACTTCCCAGTACTACTTTGTACTACAAAGCTTGCACAAAACACGTTCCAGTACTACTTTGTACCACAGAGCTTGCACAAAACACTGCCCAGTACTACTTTGTACTACAAAGCTTGCACAAAGCACTTCCCAGTACTACTTTGTACTACAAAGCTTGCACAAACTACTTCCCGGACTACTTTGTACTACAAAGCTTGCACAAAGCACTTCCCAGTACTACTGTGTACTACAAAGCTTGCACAAACTACTTCCCAGTACTACTTTGTACTACAAAGCTTGCACAAAACACGTTCCGGTACTACTTTGTACTACAAAGCTTGCACAAAGCACTTCCCAGTACTACTGTGTGCTACAAAGCTTGCACAAACTACTTCCCAGTACTACTTTGTACTACAAAGCTTGCACAAAGCACTTCCCAGTACAACTTTGTACTGCAAAACTTGCACAAACTACTTCCCAGGACTACTTTGTACTACAGAGCTTGCACTCAGGACTACTTTGTACTACAAAGCTTGCACAAACTACTTTCCAGTACTACTTTGTACTACGAAGCTTGCACAAAGCACTTCCCAGTACTACTTTGTGATACAAAGCTTGCACAAAGAAAGCTTTTACACACAGCAAATTCTTTGACAGCTGAAGCTTTTACACGCAGCAAGCTTTTTAAACAGAGAAGCTTTTACACACAGAAGCTTTTACACGCAACAAGCTTTTACACAGAGAAGTTTTACTCCAAAGCGCTTCCCAGTACTACTTTGTGATACAAAGCTTGCACAAAGAAAGCTTTTACACGCAGCAAGTTCTTTGACAGTTGAAGCTTTTACACACAGCAAGCTTTTTAAACAGAGAAGCTTTTACACACAGCAAGCTTTTACTCAGAGCAAGCTTTCACACACAGCAAGCGTTTATACACAGAACACTTACACACAGAGAAGCTTTTACACACAGCAAGCTTTTACACGCAAAATCTTTTACACACAGCAAGCTTTTACAGAAAGAAGTTTTTACACAGAGAAGCTCGTTTTGTACCTAATCACAACAAAAATTGCAGCTCCAAAACCGGGTCTCGACGCCAAAGCGACAAAAAGACGATTTTGAAGCACTTTTTAAAGTGATTCTTGAAAGGAAAATTACTAGCGCCAAAATTGAAGAAATTTGCTGACAAATCACTTTCGCAGCCTGGATGCAGCCACTCCAATACGATTTACGAGATCCAGCTGCAAAAGACAATAGTATTACACATGCAGCCGCGGCACCAAGCAACCTTGACGCAGCCATTACAACGCGATCTGCAGAGACTGAGTTGCAAAACACAATAGAACTACGCGCAACAGCGTCGGCAATAGCAGCTCCAAAACCGGATCTCGACGCCAAAGCAGAAAAAAAACGATTTTTAAGCACTTTTTAAAAGGATTTTTAAAAGGAAAATTAATAGCGCCAAAAGTGCGAAAATCTGCTCACAAATGACTACCGCAGCCTGGATGCAGCCACTATGTAATGACTATGTAAAAATGTAATGACTATGTAATGACTATGTAATGACTATGTAATGACTATGTAATGACTATGTAATGACTATGCAATGAATGTAATGACTATGTAATGACTATGTAATGACTATGTAATGACTATGTAATGACTATGTAATGACTATGTAATGACTATGTAATGACTATGTAATGACTATGTAGTGACTATGTAATGACTATGTAATGACTATGTAATGACTATGTAATGACTATGTAATGACTATGTAATGACTATGTAATGAGTATGTAATGACTATGTAGTGTCTATGTAATGACTATGTAATGACTATGTAATGACGATGTAATGACCATGTAATGACTATGTAATAACTATGTAATGACTATGTAATGACTATGTAATGACTATGTAATGACTATGTAATGACTATGCAATGACTATGTAATGACTATGTAATGACTATGTAATGACTATGTAATGAATGTAATGACTATGTAATGACTATGTAATGACTAAGTAATGACTATGTAATGACTATGTAATGACTATGTAATGACTATGTAATGACTATGTAATGACTATGTAATGACTATGTAATAACTATGTAATAACTATGTAATGACTATGTAATGACTATGTAATTACTATGTAATGACTATGTAACGACTATGTAACGACTATGTAACGACTATGTAACGACTATGTAACGACTATGTAACGACTATGTAACGACTATGTAATGACTATGTAATGACTATGTAATGACTATGTAATGACTATGTAATGACTATGTAATGACTATGTAATGACTATGTAATGACTATGTAATGACTATGTAATGACTATGTAATGACTATGTAATGACTATGTATTGTCATAATTTGTCATATAGTTACATAAATTCACATAACTGGTTGGTGGTTGACCTACCCCTCGGAAAAATGATGGAGTTCGTCAGTTGGGATGATTATTCCATTCCCAATATATGGAAAGTCATATAAGCCATGTTCCAAACCACCAACCAGATATCTCATTAACCATTATTCACCACTATTGAACCACTATTAACCAGATAAAAACCATGGTTACAAACCACCAACCAGATAATCTCTCAATCTGTTTCAAGCAGGAAATGACCCATCAGGACCCCGCCGCGGCCTGCACCCCGAAGGTCAAGCGAAAGAAGCGCAGGATGCGGCGATGGTTCTTGTTCCGCTTCACACGCATGGCTCGTTGCGAAGGCCCAAATGGCCGGCGCGGTGGTGAACACTGGCAGTGCTGGTGAGGGGCCTGTGTCATGCTGCTTTCATGAAAGAATCTTGCACAAAGATGATCAAAGATGATGTTGAAGTTTGTGATGCCAATTGGGGTGTGGACCTGTATGCCCAATGCAAAGCTTGACTCGTCCAAAGCTTTGGAAGTCTGCGAACCAAACCCAGCTACGACAGGTGCCACTGCCAGTGAGTATTCTTGGGCAACCCACACGTTGTAGGAAGGGGCTGCACCTGGCTGGGGTGGTAGCTGAAGACCCTGCAGCTCTAGTTCAAGTTGCGACTCTTGGAACGATGGCCACGTTCTTGCTTGCAGTTATTCCTTCAGTGGACAGGAAGCTATAGCTACAATGCTTATACATTGTGGTTTGGGTTGGTGGTCTCGAATCCTAGAGATACACCATACGGGTGACATATATTGACTTTTTTAGAAGGGAAAACTTTGGATTTCCGATGCTGCCTCCATTCCATGGAGGCAACAAACATTGCTGTCTTGAAGGCTTCAAGCATTGGGGTTGACCATCTACATCCAGAATGATGCGCAGAATCACCAACCATCATCATATAGTATTAACATGTATGAACCAACATTGTTAACCATGATTTTCCATTGTTAACCATACATATCTATTATATATATATATATATCACTGACCTGAAATAAGGCTATAGTGGGAAACAAAACTAAGAATGTAGCTGGAAGCTACCAACCTGACCCCCACATCCCAGCCGCCACGCTTGGAACTTTCTTCCAACCCAGGGCGAAACGGCTCGTGGTTGGTTCTGCTCTACCGGACTTTGCGGATCTGGTTTTTTTCGGAAGTTGGTCTGAAGTGGGTCACTAGTTGCCCCCGTTCACCTCTGTATGGGGGCCATCTGTGGGCTTAAAATGCTCCTCTGCCGGACTGATCAAAAGCAACAGACCGAGATCTCACAGAAGATGGGGCAACAAAAGCACAACGTCTGTCATCTTCCAAGATATACTCTCTGGTAAACTAACATAGCTATTGAACATGGCCATTTATAGTTGATTTACCTATTGAAAATAGTGATTTTCCACGGTCATGTTAGTTTACCAGAGGGTATATAACTGTGGGGCCCGCAAATCCAAATATTTATCACCGGGCAGAGCTTTTGATCAACCCATATCCATGGCAAATTTTGCACATGTTTAGCATAGGAATCAGAAACTCGGCAGGTCAGATTTCCGACAAGCTCGGGATGCATGGCTCTCTGTTTTCATCATGGCTTCGCGCTACGGAATCTTCTTCCAAGGTCTGTCAGATTTGGAGTTTAACCACCATTCGCAGATGGCCTGATCCATGGTGAAAACCTGGTACATGCGGTATGGTCATCCCCTCATTAAGGATTCCCTCTATTTATCTAATGGGGGATGGCCATCTCCCAATCTGGGTATATTCAACTTTTGACCATGTCACACGTGCTTCTGGGTCAAAACCCTGTACCTCTGGAAAGTGTGCAAAAAGAGCGAACAGGATAGCCTTGTCCCCTGCCTTGGACGTTTACCTAGCCCTTTTGGGGGATAATGGGTGTCGGCCCACTGCATGGGTCGAACATGCTTTTTGCTTTCCCCACCTCGATCAAGATCCTACAGTCTAACTATATCTCACTGTTTGGAGCTTCCAAACAGCCGAGTCGTCCAGCTGTTGAAAGCCTGCAATCCCCGGTCGAAAATGTTCGACACCCTTTCCAGCCCTTCAGTTGAAGGGGCTGCCCAGGTGCAACCGGGCCGGCTGGGCCATGCAGACGCACCATTGGAGGGAAACACTTCAAGGCACGGCCTCAAACCCCCTGGAGAGGACATGTTTCACTAATTTGGCCTCAACTTTGTTTTTTGTTTGCCCGTGTCTAGGTAAGTCATGCATATTTCTTTGAGCCACCAATCCCTAAAGTAGAAAAGTCCATGATGTTGCCCCAAAATGTGCCTACTGTAGGGTCGATAGTTGAACCCGCCAAAGGATGTTGAAGTGTCAAAGTTGCAAACCTGTTTGCCCCCCAAACTCCGATACCTCCAAACCTCTCCGAGGAGCAAAGAGGTTGTATCCTCTACCCTATCTGAGACATACTTGGACAAAGGGAAAAAGCTTGCATGACAAATCCCTTGACACGCAGTGATACTCCGGTCCAAGTTGGATGTTCTAGAGCTAGTTTGCTCTTGAGTGGTGCCAGTTTAGGATTGCAAAATATCACAAAGACCTGAGGGATGATGCCTGGAAATCACTTTGAGATCAGGTGACATCTGCAGCCCACATTAAACAGCTGGCGCGACATCGAGCGCGCCGTTGCCCAAGACGCGTGACAGTGTAAGACTCCGACCCCTTCTGGTTAGAAGTGAAGGGTTAAAACTGAATATGTTGACAACAAGCTATGGGGAACTGCAAAACATCGTGTTGTTGTAAAGAATTCACAAGCTTTCAATCCCTTGGTGCGAGGTTTTTTACTCGTACCCCTTTATAATATGGCACAAGCCTGTCCTCGATGAGCCTCGTCCCTGTGAGATAGAAGGCTTCCAAGGTATGTCCACTGAAGAAAAGATGCACGAACATGCACGAACACTTTCCGACATTTAGGATGACTACAAGTTGCGAAAACCAATGCATCAACTTGTCACACTGGTGACTTGGAGACTTGGGGAAATCTGGCTCCTCTGAAACGACTCTCCCAGCATTGCTTTGCGGGAAATGTTAATGGAAACAAAAGTTCAAATCCATCGTTTTCCCAGATTGTGTTCCTTTCAATCCAGTGGTGGTTTTTTTGTGGTTGCTCATGGATTCTATCCACATGATGAGTTGCCTATTGCTATCTCCACTTGTCACGGCTAATCATAGCTTAGTCCAAAATGTTCATAGTGACAGGATGTGACAGGCTAAATTTCCCCATCAAAATTCCAAAAAGTGTGCCTTCCATTCACAAGCTGGACAGGGTTATAAGTAATTAGTCATATTTAACCACAGTTCTAAGGGTTATATCATATATCCCCACTTTACTAAAATATATGAAAGTCCCATGGTGATGTCCTGAAAACTTACTCGAACAACGCACCCCGAAGCAAGGCTTACCTGTCACCCGGGGCCATCCATTGCCGCGGGCCGCGACTGGACCCGGGCTGTGGCGGACGTGACTAGCGAGACCTCAGGAGTTGTGGCTTCCACAGAGCTACTCGTGGAGGTCAACGAGTTCACCCACTTTTGTTTATGGCATGTTAATGGGAGTTAATGGGATTTGAGTGGGATATGAAAATGTGATTTAATTGATATGTATGAGATATTTATGGGATACGTGTGGGATTTTATGGGATTGTAATGGGATTGTAATGGGATTTCATGGGATTCAATTGCATTATATGAAATGAATATCCGGAAAGTAACGGGGATTTCATGGGGCTTCATGGATTCTACAATAGGATGGTCAAACGTGGCAAGGTGGGTTTTCTCCCGCACGAAATGGTGGATTTTCCCACCACGAATTGGGTTCAATGGAAATTGGTCTGTGCAAAAAAAGGGAAAGAACTTGGGGGTTGAACCAAAAAAATGTTGGGATAGTTTATGGGGATCGAGCTGATATCTATATACAAATATACAAATGTATTTATTCGAAGTAATGCATACATGTATACATATATACATATATACATATATACATATATTCATATACTAAATATATATATATGTATCTTAATATCTCTATATATGTTTGTATCTATAAGTTGGGGACTCAATGACTAAAAATCCACGATTTCCAAAACAGAAACGGCCAAGTGGCCCGTTGGCCTTCCGATGCGCCAGCGCCATTTCGGTGGCATTCAGCAAGGCCTCCAGTGGTCGTCAGTTGGTGATCCAGATGGGGATGGAAAATGGGATTTTTTCGATGATTTTTGTAATGGGATTTAATGGGGAACCTAAGATCTAAGCCATCTATATATATATACCTATATATAATATATATATATATACCTATATATACGTATGTATGTGTATATATATATATACATATGTCTGGCTGAAATTAGAATTCACCACACAAAAAAATTCAAGATCATTGCGGGAAGGCTCCCCTGCTCCTAGCCATTATGGTCACCGACAGAATTATGGGAAAAAAAAAAAAACGTTCAACTTAGACAGGCGGCGCCTGCGTCCGATTTTTCCATAATTAGGTTTTTCCCCATAAGGGTTCAAAATATCCCGGAAGTGATCCGAACCTTTTTTTTTCCATAATTCTTGGAGGTGGCCATTATTTCCATAATTGTTTTTTCCTGTAAAATCAGGGGGCTAGGGCAGATTGACCGGTTTTTCCATAATTATTTTTTTCCATAATTATTTTTTCCATAATTATTTTTTCCATAATTAATGTTTGGGGCTCCACCTGTTGGACATGTCATGGATCCACAATTCAAACCCCTTTTTTTGGGGGGTTATGGAAATATGTATGCAAATGCAAGTATGTAGTATCAACCCAATTGGTGGCTTGGCAAAAGGATACATCCCGCATATGTATGTACGTACAACAATGAGTTTTGGTGGTGCAATTGTTTTTCCTTTGTTGGTACCACTATGGAAGACTTAGGGGCATATACCAGATCTTTAGACACATATTTTCTATAATTCAATATTCCCCCTTAAAATGCATTCAAATTGCGAATCGATGGACATACAGTCACCGACAGAATTATGGAAAAAAAAATAATTATGGAAAAAATAAGTATGGAAAAAAAAAAGGTTCGTAACTTTTCTATCATAGACAGGCGGCGCCTGTAAATTGAAATGTTTTTTTCCCATAATTCTGTCGGTTCCTGTAGGGCTATCTTTCCAAAGACTTTCATTGGCTCAGCGCCTGCAAAAACAGGATCTCATGATGTCATCTCGGGCAAATGTTGCGGGAAACCTTGCCTGCAAGCGTTCCTTGAGCTTCTGCAACTGGGGTGCGTCCATGATCTTCCTGGGTCAAGATTGGCTTTCAATCTTGACCCATACCAGGAAGAAAGACTTAAAGAAGGGTGCTAACTCGAACTTAAAAGACAAAGGACAAAAACGTGTTTATCACGTTTTATCATATAAACTCATACTCCACAACTGTGTTTCCTTTAGAAGAACCCCATCGTGCATTCTAAGTTTCAGATGCTCCCGAACTGGAGAAAAAAACATGAAAGCCACTACGGCCAAAGTCACTTCATCCTAGCTCCCCGTAAATTCCCAGCCAGCCACCTGTCTGGGGGGCTATTCTTGGAGGATCACCCAGTGTTCACTTGCTAAATGCGGCATGCTGCCCCAAGTACAATCTGGTAATCAAACATGTCTGGGATATCACCATTCATTGAATATGTATATGTTGTTGACATGATTTATTTAAAATAGTTATTCATTGATTTGTTCATTATATGGCTGAAAATTGGGGGTGATCCTCGTTTTGTGATCTCTAAATCGTCTGTCAACATACATCTATAATATGGATATACAGGTATGTGTACATATATTTATGTATATATATATATATTATGTATATATGTATATTTATATATATATATAGTTATAATGTATGTATATGTATAAATAAATTGCATATGTTTCAGGACGTTCCATCCAATCTGACCCAAATATGTGCATCAGCACCAAGCGTCAGCGTGTCAGCGGTCAACATGTCTGGACCAAGCCCCAGGGCTTCTTCCCTCTTGGCGCGGCCGCGGGGAGATCCAATCGGCGTCGCCTCGTCGTTGCGCACGGTTGGTCGAGGCGCGGTGGGGTCCCAAGGATACGGAAAAATGGTGGTGTTAAGAAATGGATATAAATGTTGATGCATCAATGTTGAAGAGGTATAGAAACACCACCAAACAATGTGTCTTGTTTACTGATAGTTCTAAATTGAAAATGCCGTTGGATAAAATCAACTAAGTCCAGAAAAGGCCCTCCAGCAAGTTCACCTGGCATAGGAAAATGCTCATGTTCTGAGAGGTCAAAGTGGTTTTAGGGCAGGTGTACCGAGGGTGGAAAATAAACAAACAGAGTTGAAAAGCCACAGCAAAATCATCCCTTGAAAATACACAGCATTGATTGTTTATACCTCTTATTTATCTAGAGTATTAGGTATCTTAAGTATCACATTATCCTTTGAAAATACCCAGCCACACGTACCATGAATCAGAGTCGGGAGTGTTCTGGTTTGTTGCCATATACTCTTGATTCTCCATGCTCAATGGGAAAATGGTAATTTGACAGGTAAAATCCACCTGTTTGATAGGTAGAATTCCTATCTTGATATATCTTGATAAGTAAAATCCCCATTTTTCAGGGGTCAAATTCACCATTTTTCGGGGTGAATGATCCCTGGCAAGACCCATCCCCCAGGAAAGTCCTCAGGCGAGGCGGTCAGGGAGGTGTACTTGGTACTGGAAGCGCTTCGCTTCACCCAAATGCGCCAGCCGTGGCCGCTGGGGCCGTTGCTCCAATAGTTCCTGGCTTTAATAGCTGGGATTTATCAGCTGATTTGGATGAAAAAAGTCACCCCAAATATGGTATGTAGAGGGTTGATCTATCCCCATGTGTCTCTATTTCATCACTATTTTTGGATATTTTTGGATATTTTTGGATTGTTTGGTAACGTTGCAACAACCCGTGTTCGGTTCGCTTGGTCTAGCTCAATGATGTTTCAGAATGTTTCAGATACCTCTGGTCTGATCCCAGTCACAGAGTTGTCCTGAAAGCTGTAATCTCATCGATACAACAGGATTGAGAATGAATGGGGAAGCAGAGCGCTGGAAAATCCAGTTGGGTATGTTGGGAAACACACAGAAATCTGATAGGCAAAATCTTCAGCAAATGTTTGTTAACCCAAAGAAATTGTCATGTTTTCGGATCTGAATCCATCCATTTCTATGCCGCATAGGGATATTCCCCTATTTTGTTCGATGATTTTCTCATTTTTCCCGCAGCTGATTGCCGGAGGGTATCCCACAAGTTTGACCGGAAAGGACCAGAGGTGTTCAACAAAAAGCAGTTGATACCTCCAACCTAAGTGGCATCGTGTTCCCAAACCCGGCATTGAAAGCCGTTTTGTTGCCATTCATTCGACCCTGCATTCCAAAAAAGTTATATAATCTGGTTACCCTCTGGTAATTTAACGTAGCTATTGAAAATGACCATTTATAGTGGATTTTCCCATTAATAATGGTGATTTTCCATAGTTATGTTAGTTTACCAGAGGGTATTTAACAGTTCGCCATGGAAAATCCCTTCATTTTTCAGTTCGGTAAACCATCTATTTCTATGGGGCCATGGCTCTCCCATGGCTAGTCTATCCGCTGGGATTGGTTTAATATATCCCGCTGGGATCCATAGGATGCTGGTATATTAATGCTAACATGACTGGGCTATATATCCCATGGGATCCGAATGTTACCATAGATAGCAGCACCATGGATCCTATATATATATATATGGATCGTCATCTCATGCATGGTAGACTTCGAAAGTATCGATAGTTGGTGTCCTCAAAAGTTGGATCAGTTGGATTTGGTTTTTCAGCATTTTACCCATTGCCCTTTGGAACACTAACATAGCTATGGAAAAACACCATTCTTTCAAACGGTAAATCATCGAACCAAATGGGCCGGCTATACCGACTAGCTGTCTTAGTTTACCAAAAGGGTACCCTCTGGTAATTTAACATAGCTATTGAAAATGGTGATTTATAGTGGATTTTCCGATTAAAAATTGTGATTTTCAATAGCTATGTTAGTTTACCAGCGGGTAACCTGGACTCCCAAAAATATATCCCATCGTTTCTAATCATCATTTGACCCATTGCCCTGTGGAAATCAAACATGGCTGGAACATCCACAATCTCTAGATAGAAATCTTCATTTAGTTGGGAGTATTCCATCCACGTTTGATGACACCGGAGGGCACAGATAGATCATGATAGATCCACCATAAATATCCAAATAAAAATAATCCCATGATAGATGACAAACCACATTTTCATCCGTTAACCATCATTAAGCTAATTTTTCTGGATGCTGGGTAACCATGGCTACCCTCTGGTAAACTAACATAACTATGGAAAATCACCATTTATGGTAGATTTTCCCATGAAAAATGGTGATTTTCCATAGTTATGTTGGTTTACCAGAGGGTAACCCCATTGAAACCTGGGTTTCAACCACCAAGCGTCATATCCGGCTGCCCCGCCGGGCGCGGGCCCAGGGCCACCCGCAGCCCCGGTGGCGAGCCGATCTCCGCCAGGTAGAGTGTGTCGTCGGCGCAGTGGATGTTCACAGGGGCATCCACCGGAATTCCTGCAGAGGCGTGGTGGAAGACATTGGAACACCACGAACTTGTGGTACCCTCTGGTAAACTAACATAGCTATGGAAAATCACCATTTTTAATGGGAAAATCAACTATGAATGGCCATTTTCAATAGCAAACTGTTAAATTACCAGAGGGTAACTTGTGGAGAAATGGTGCTGGTAGTTACAACTGGTTTTACCAAAAGGCGATTTGAGGATATTTTGAGTCACAGATGAGTGACTTCATGGAAAATCTGAACCAGAAACCATGATATTTACCCAATAAAGTTGGGGAGTTCCTGTACATTTTCCTAAATCAATGCTGTATTTGAGAGATTTAGATGGGGTCAGAACTACATTGTGGCTGGGGAAATCACCATGTTGATGTGGATTATTATCCCGTTTGCAAGTATGAGGACTTTTGAGTTTTGTATCTATGTTGTGAATCCAAAATGTGCCAACTTATGCCAGGAACCTTTGTGTTTTACCACTCTTCATCGTCATGGGGCTTTGTCGTTTGAGGCCCTGTTTTTTCTGTTCCAGAATGAGGCCCTTGACCCAAAAATAGCATGGCCGCCGTCGCTCAGTGGAGCCAGAGGGGAGGTGTTGAGGTGTTGAGAAAGAGTGACACTGCGGCAGAGCATGATGCCGTAGAAATACAGTAAGCATAATGAGACATGATCTATACAACAAGAATCAGCAAAAGCACCTTTAAAGTGCACCTGGATAGATAAATCCATGATAAATCCATTCGACCCGTCAAAAATGTGTACGCCATAGGCACGGAGACATTGAAGTAAAATCGATGCGACTAAACCACTTGACAGTACTGTAACCAACTGGAATGAGGACGTAACCGAAAAAAACATCGCTAACATAAAGCTCCCAAACATCCCACATTATATATATTGTTGATGCCTTACCACGAAAAAACAATGATGGTGGAATATTGAATATGAATATATCAACTCAACATAGAAAATGCATGAAAATGCATCAACCAATCAATATTATCTGGATGACTTAGAAAAATTCACTCATCTAGAAAAAGTTCGGCCGTCGCATAGCCATACCCCAATCCACTTCCCGTCACCAGCGTCTCCTGAGTCGCGCCGGGCTTTCATCAGTGCGGAGATCTTCTTTTTCGGTTCGTCGCCCCAATCCATGATGTGATCCCAGAAGACCGAGGGAATTCCTCGGATTCCGCCGACGATCGGAATCCCATCCCTCAACACCCGAAACCACGATGTAGGGGATGAAATATGATCAAAGCCAACAAGGGATAGGTGAAGTGGCCGGGCACCCCATGGGTTGCTGCGTGTTTTTGCTCAAGACATTCCCAAAGTCTTTGTGGTTTTTGGATCTCTGATGATATAGGCAAATGGATATCCAAATCAAATGATATAGACAAATGGTGAAAAAATGATGATATATCATATATATATATAATTATATATATATGATTATATATGTCATTTTGGATCTCAAATGATGATCCTGAACCCATGTGATGTGGACAACAACCAACGGAAATGCATCGGAGAATGTCTGCGAAATACTACGGGGATTCCCCTTCGCTCAACTGCAGACCATGCTCCAGGATGGGTCAAGATGTACGCGTAGCCAATCAGGACCTTCCGGAAGATAGCGGATGGAAGAACAGGTGGTCGAGTCAAAAATTGGAAATGGCCATGGATTTTTTTCGGTGATGTGCCTGTGCTTTAATGGTGATTCTCCGTAGCTATGTTAGTTCAACCAGCTGGTGTCCTCTGACAAAATTTGACCCAAGAGTCTGGGTCTGACCCTCATAGGTAGACCACATTCACTGTCATCCCTCAACTGATTGGATAACATGGATTAAAAAAAAGTCCCCAATCTATTGGACCCTACGAGTACAATCATTACAATAAATACCATGATTTGATGAATGTCAACCATCTCCGCCTTTTTCTCCCCATATTATTTTGAATGCAGGGGAGAAAAGAACACCTGTATGTATATATTATGGTTTTTTGAGATTGTTAAAATCGCAATAGGGTTTTGCAGCCAGGAGAATGGCCCCCTCTGCCGACCTTGTCATCTGGGAAGGGCCAGTGGCGTTGGGTGCTGCCGGTGTCGTGGTTGTCGATGAAGGTCACAGCGTACTGCCTCGGTTCCCGTGGGTTGGCTCGTTGGATGTTCATCTTCCCAAATGTGGTATTGCAATAATTAACCACCCACGACTGGCATGGTAAACATATACCACCTATAAAATTGGTTGACTGGGGGATGGTGTATTACCCTCTGGTGAACTAACATAGCTATGGAAAATCACAATTTTTTATGGGAAAATCCACTATAAATGGCCATTTTCAATAGCTATTTTGACATAACCAGAGGGTACCCACCATGATTTCATAGGTTTTGATCCAAATCATTCCAGGTTTTGTCTGGTCATGTACCTCCTGGCGGACCCGACCCCAACTCTGCTGGGCTTCTGCGCACCATTTGGTGAAGCGCCCAGTGACCCCAACCCCCGAACCATCAAAATACGAAATCTTCATCTTCAAAATAGGATTTCAAGCATCAAACAACCATCAAACACTATCAAACTCCTGCATTTCTTCAACATCCCCAACCATCCCCACCATCCACAACATCCACAACATCTTCCCAACAAGCTCCCTTGGGACCCTCTCACCGTCACCGCATCCAAGCCACGGCAACCAGCCGATGAGTCCCGGCGGCTTGCCCTCGCGGTCCCTCAGACGCCAGAACTGCGTCAAACGACAGGCCTCCTGGAGGATGCCCTTCGTGGTGAAATCGAAGGCCTTGGGGAAGATGAAGATGAAATGCTTGGGGGTGAGATGCATGTGTGTTTGAGACTAAGCAAAGAAACATGTGTATATATATATATATCATATATGAACTACTTCTTTAAAACATAGACAATATATATATATATATGTATATATGTATATAAAGAAAGAAAGAAAGAAATCGAGAAATAAATAAGTAAATAAATACATAAACAAATAAATAAATACCTAAATAGAGAAATATATTATTAAATATATATATATAGACACAGTAACAATATTTTAATGATGGCAAGACATAAACAAATCTTGCTGGTGGTCCTCTGCAGAGATGTGCCATGGTCAAGTTGCTATTGGGTTTACGTACTATGCAACATAGTACCCTCTGGTAATTTAACATAGCTATCGAAAATCACCATTGTTAATAGGTAAACCATCTATTTCGATTAGGGCCATCTATACCATAGCAAACTGTTAAATAACCAGAGGGTAGGATTTAACCAACAACATGTTTATTATTTTTAATGGGTACACAATGGGAATGCAATGGCCAAGATGCAACAATATGATAAATCGATGACATGGTCATCCATCCCAGCATGGAAATCCTAAAAAGTGGGTATATAATATAAATGCTTATTAATACCCAATATGGAAATTTTGCAGTGATTATTCCATAAATGAATTTATATTATAGTGGGTGTGTAGTGTATCATGGAAATCCATTAATGGATTGATGATCATCCCCCAATATATAGCTGTAGAATCAATCTTTTGACCATGGCACATATAGGTTACAATAGGTTACAACGACTATCGGGATCCAACCAACCCCCCAGTGTGGCAACCCGCCCAATGATAGCTGCTTAAGATTTGCTCTGAAAATAAAAACGTCAAACTTGTTGGTGGTTAAAATTCGCCCTTAATACACTTTTATTGTTGGGAATCCCTATGCCTACTATAAACTTTTGGGGTGCCAGAAAGGGATTGAGCCCATAAACTACTATGAACTACAGGTGCAAGCGGACAAGTGCTTATTTTACCACGGGAATTTGGTTTCCCTCCACCAAACAAAGTGCTTGTGAGGGAACCGTGGTGCCGAGATAGTCAGGTCAGGCTTCCCATCAACAATAACAAAAAAACACCAACAATTAACAGCAACAAAGTTAGATATGTATATATATATCATATGTACACATGATGTTCATGTGTACATATATATATATAGGTTTCCTTAAAAAAATGGTGGGGTAACCCCCCATAGCTGGATGGTTTATTTCATGGAAAAAAGAAACGCAAGAAATGAGAGATTCCCAGGTCTTGCTCCAAGGGACCGAGGACTTCTTTCCGGTGGCGTTGATCCAGTCCACCAACTGCTGACGATGCTTGTTCTGGTCATAGCCTGGACTTGGGACTTGGGGGATCTATCATGGAACAAACCAACCATGGTTATTCTATGGATATATAGTGGGAAGATATCATCAACAAGATGATGGGGCATCTTTTTTTTTGGCTGGATATTTCATGGATATTTCTAGTGGGTAGATATAACCATTTGATTGTGGGAAATGTGAACCAGGGGAGTTCCATTCCAGGAGGATTTGACCTTTTCGGGGGATAGAAAAAACCAGCCGGTCATGGTTGGAGATTCTATGGATCATGGGGAGATAGAAAACCAACAAGATGATTTTGAGAAGTGGCGACCCAGCATTTTTTGGATCGCGTTGATTCATAGCTGGAGAAGGCCATGTTGGTAGCGGCCTTCGAAGCCAGTTCTGACATGATGCGAGCATCACCAGCCGGGATCATTCCTTTTTTGGGGATGGATTTCAGGATTTCCAGGATTTCTGGAGATTTCATCGCCAGTTCTGGTGGGATTTCTGCGATGATGTTCCATATTTTTCCCATCATATATGGTTAATGATGATGGTTAATGATGATGGTTAATGATGATGGTTAATGATGATGGTTAATGATGATGGTTAATAATAATCTGGTTGGTGGTTTCAACCTACCCCTCTGAACAATGATGGAGTTAAAGTCAGTTGGGATGATTACATGCCCAATATGATGGGAAAAATAAAAGCCATGGTCCAAACCACCAACCAGTGTTAATAAGTTTCACCAACGACAATGGTGTGCAGCAGTGATTCAAGTAGGAAAAAATCTAAGTAGGATTTCAGACATTCGAAATAAGGGTGCGAAGGGAAAAATGGTGATCCGAAGAATCATCAGGCGATTCATGGTGATCAGCGTTTCACTAAATAGAAGGCGGATTGGGCCGCATGATTTCCACATATTTCCACTGCGTGCACACTCACATCAAAAGGTGTAGCTAGTTAAAGCCACTTGGTCAGGTAAATACCCCCCAAGCCACTGAAAGTGATTGGTATCGGTATGGTTCACAATGACCGGCCCCAAGAATTATGGATTGTCCAAATGATAGTGACAAACCATTTCAGAACATCCAAATGGGGGATCCCCTAAAGTATAAAAAATCATTTATTGTTGCCAAGATTGTCAACCTGAAGACCTGCGGGGCAGAGCCAAGTTTGAGACACACCCAGAAAATCACAGAGCCAGAGCCTCTAGCCAGAACCAGGGAGCAGAGTCCGTGGCAGTCGTAGTGCATGTCCGTCCACAACTCTCCCACTGCCCAGGCGGGGTGGCTCTTGCTGCAATACTTTCCTGAAGGATGGCGTGCTCCGCAAGGGTGGCGGTCATTAGATAAGTTGGTAAACAGAACAAAGTTAACTATGGTCTACAGCTAGTACAACGATGGTTAGATGGAACCAACTTATGGCTAGGGGGGACTATAACTACGTATAGTTTGATGGTTCACGCCTACTGTAACTAGAGTTGGATGGTGAATTAAAACCGACAAGAGCGCGAATCAACCAAAACAAACATTGAGATTTCACAAACACGAAAAAAGAGCCTTGGGATTTACACAACATAAACATTGGAATTCAACCGGCAAAACATCGAGAAGGTTGCCCCAATATCTTCTCATCATTTCTGATCTATCTCCACAAAAAGCAGGATTTCCAACCCAAGTTTTCTCATCTACTAGTACCCTCCTGTAAACGTTTACATAGATGTGGAAAACCCACCATTTGTAGATGAGTTTCCCAAGAAAACTATTGGTTTTCAACATGTCTATGCTAGCTTACCCCAGGGTATCTCATCAAAAATCAGGAAGTCCAACCCAAGTTCAGCCGCGTCTCCCACAAACTCCGCACCGTAACCCTTCACGAAATCAAAGCGCCATCCATCGAAACCCACCTGTGACGTTTCAAGCGAGGAAACTCTGAGCAGGTCTATCAGAGAAAAAAACAACCCTGCGCCATTGACCATGCTCCGTCGATATACATACATAACCATACATACATACATACATACATACATACATACATACATACATACATACATACCATTACATTACATTACATTTCATTACATTTCATTACATTACATTACAATACAATACAATACAATACAATACAATAAAAATACAATACAATACAATACAATACAGTACAGTACAATACAATACAATACAATACATACATACATTACATACATACATATATATATATGTAATTATGTGTGCATTTCTAATATGATATCATATATGTGTATAGCTCTATTTAGTCATTATATATCATTACATATTGTATAACAGATTGCTACAACATATCTGAGAAAAATATCACACATTCAAAATCAGATCTTGGTGTGTTTTCAGTTAAAAAGACTGCCACTTTGTTTTGAAGCGCAACAAATGCAGCTGCCGCCTGCAAACGCAGCCAGCGCAGCCAGATGCTTATGGATTCCTGCACCTGGGCTCATTTTGCCGGCCGGTCTTGAGAAAGGAATGTTATGAAGCTAGCTAGAGAGATGCTATAGCTAAGTGTTTCTGAACAAGGTGTCATCCCCAAACCAAAGGTTTTGTTCTTAACGCGGACCATGCAAATGGTTTGCGTGCCTGGTTTCAATGGACATGCCTTTCTTTTTGATGTGATTACTGTGTATCCCCATGGCCCTTTTGTTTCTTGGTGGATATAACATTTGCATTTTGCATTTTGCATTAGGAGCGATACTCTGAGTATTATCGTCTGTTGAACCCCGCATGTCACACGCCGCATGTCAGAGGGTCATCTCCTCTCTTGGCATTGTTCTCCTGAGTTAGTTTTTTCAATTTTATCCTCTTGCTTTTTGGAATTGATACACAACTTCCTTGGTTAAACAACCACTTCTAGCTTGAACATCTTATTTCTAGGGCCTTGCCGGCACTTAGGATGTAGTTTTGACAATCCTGCGTAGCAAGTCTCCTTTTTATCTAGGGTTACACCCACTCAATTCAACATGGTTGCCCCAACAATGCCCAAATCCAGGTGCAGAAAATCATCTTCCAGACCCCCAATTTTATCTGGTGAGTGGTTTCAACCCCTCTGAAAAATATTAATCAGTTGGGATCATTATTCCCATGTATTATGGAAAGATAATCCAAATGTTCCAAATATACATATATATATATATTAGATTATTGGATGATGACTATTATCATTATTACTATCATTATCATTATATATCATTATTATCCACATAGAACAGTACAACCAGGTACATTTTGCAGGGGGTACCCTCTATACGAATCCAACGATGGCTAGAAAATCCCCATTTATTTCGATGCTTTTTCCCATCAAAAAGCTCCATGAGCGGCTCGAGGATCTCCCGGTCAACCGTGTTTTTATGATCTTATTTTCTTCGTATGATTTCCCATGAAATCCCATAGAAAATCCCATGAAAATCCATTAAATCCAATTAAATCCCATTAAATCCCATGGAAAATCCCATGGAAAATCCATTAAATCCCATTAAATCCTATTAAATCCCATGGAAAATCCCATTGAAAATCCCTTGTTGGTTAAAAAGAAAAGGATTCACCGGACCCCGGAAACCGCCGCACCTTGGGGTTGCGATGATCAATGTCCGGTGCAGCATCGAAGCGACCGTCCAAGTGCCCCGGGCCGTGCATTCCTGGGCGAACCGATGAGGAAGCGATGGAGCCAAGTCGCGGGGAGTTCAACCACATGGCTATCTGGTTGGTGGTTGACCTACCCCTCTGAAAAATATGAAAGTCAATGGGAAGGATGACATCCCATATATGAAGACCTGGGGGACCACTTTTTTTTGAGTCGATTCTTAGGACTATGTGGATCCAATTTTTCGTAGCGAAAAATATGACACCTATACCTTAGTTGAACAGCCCACTGCTAAAGAAACCAAACTTCTGAAATGATAGAGATCACAGTTCATCATCAAATGTGATATAGTCCTTCTGAATCGAGGCCCAGTGTCCTAAATTCACTGCGCCAAAGAAACCCTGTGACCACCCCATCATTCCCAGTCAGATGCCGGCCCGGTGGATTGACCCCATCCATGAGGACCGGCTGACCCAGGTTTCCTCTTGACGACACCAAAAATCAGACTACCCTCTGGTAATGACTAACAGTTTGCTATTGAAAATGGCCATTTATCGCGAATTTTACCATTAAAAATGGTGGTTTTCCATAGTTATGTTAGTTTACCAGAGGGTATCCAAAAAAATATCACCATAAAAGGCTTGGTTTCGACCCTAATAACCATGTTGCTGAAGCCACAAAAGGATTTTTTTTCCCATAAAAGGTCCCATGAGGAGTGATCGCCCATCTATCTCATGAAATCCCTTCGTTCAGGTCCATTCTGGAGCATGTTTACCCTCCGGTAAACTAACATAACTATTGAAAATTGCCATTTATAGATGGTTTACCCAATAAAAATTGTGTTTTTCCATAGTTATGGTAGTTTACCAGAGGGTAACCCCAAATTTTCTACATGTTTCCATCCATCCAAAGCATAAACGAAAGCAACGAATTCTCCATGGGGATCACTGGGCCCGACACTTAAATTCACCCGGGAAATCTCCAAAAATCAGGGATTTTTTATATGATCAAATCATATCAAATCCAACAAAAAACTAAAAGATCAGAGATAAAATGTATTAAAATGTTATAAAATCCCACAAAAGTCCCTTGAAAATCTGGAAAAAGGACCCTCCTGTTTCTCATCCAAAAAATGGACCACCGAGGCGCCACTGCCGTCCGAATACTGATCGCCCAAGGTCACGGCCCAGCCACCCCAGTCCGCCACGCCGGTGAAGCTGGGCCTTCAGGTCGTCGATGCACTTGATCTATCTATGGAATCTGTTTGTCAATGGTATCTATCGATTCATGGTATCTGATGCTAGCTATTAAGGTATCTGATGGTATCGATTAAGGTATCTGATGCTATCTGATGCTATCTGATGGTATCTGATGGTATCTGATGGTATCTATTAAGGCATCTGATGGTATCTATTAAGGTATCTGATGGTATCTGATGGTATCTATTGAATCTATTAAGGTATCCATTAAGGTATCTATTAAGGTATCTATTAAGGTATCTATTGAGGTATCTATTAAGGTATCTATTAAGGTATCTATTAAGATATCTGATGGTATCGATTAAGGTATCTGATGCTATCTGATGCTATCTGATATTATCTGATAGTATCTGATGGTATCTATTGAATCTATTAAGGTATCTATTAAGGTATCTATTAAGGTATCTATTAAGGTATCTATTAAGGTATCTATTGAGGTATCTATTAAGGTATCTATTAAGGTATCTATTAAGGTATCTATTAAGATATCTGATTGTATCTATTAAGGTATCTGATGGTATCTGATGGTATCTGATGGTATCTGATAGTATCTGATGGTATCTATTGAATCTATTAAGGTATCTATTAAGGTATCTATTAAGGTATCTATTAAGGTATCTATTAAGGTATCTATTAAGGTATCTATTGAGGTATCTATTAAGGTATCTATTAAGGTATCTATTAAGGTATCTATTAAGATATCTGATGGTATCTATTAAGGTATCTGATGGTATCTGATGGTATCTGATGGTATCTGTTTATCTACAGTATCTATCTATCCATCCATCCATCCATCTATCGATCTATCTATCTATCTATCTATCTATCTATCTATCTATCTATCTAGATGTATATGTATATATATATATAACTATAACTGTACATAATTATAATTGTAGGCTTCTCCAACCCCTACAAACTGTGGACAGCATTTATATATATAGTACGAAGAGCAAACTCATGTTGACATCCCTGTCATGTCCTGGGGCGTTGGGGGTTGGGGCAATAACGTAGATCAATGATTTTCTCACTCTCTGCCTATTTTGTTTCAAACTTTGCCACGTTAAATCACTTTTTTTTCCTTCTACTTGTTTCGCACTCCTTGCAAATTGCAGCGATCCGGACATGGCTTGTTTCAGCTTGTTTTCAAGTAGCGCAACATGTTGTTACTGTGCGCATCAACACCACCTTGTCCATGCTCCGGGATCTGCTGGATGCCCATGGCACCCATGTCATGTCATTTGATTGGTACCCTCCGGTAAACTAACATAGCTATTGAAAATGGCAATGTATAGTTGATTTACCCATTAAACATGGTGATTTTCCATATTTTTTTGTATGTTTACCAGAGGGTAATGTCCTGTCGCACAGAATAGGAGTAGGTTCCTGTTTCAAGGAAAATGACCGCAGCAGATGACTTTTTTTGAGCAGTTGATGCAAACATGTTGAGACAATTTTTATCAATTTTTCGTCACAGGACCAGGTGAGAATATTCATACCCCAGTGAATATATGAGTCACTGGTAATTTCAATCGGAGAATGCATGGAAAAGAAGGGGAAAATGATCTCTGGGGAATCTTCTGTCGCCTCAAATGTTTACCAATAGCTGTATCACATGTATCACGGCTAACCTGACATACTAATGTGACTGCGAACATAGTATGTGGAAAATGAGATGAAAAAAAAATCGTATGGATTGAGGTGCGCATGATCATAATTTTAAGGACCTCCATGAGTTTTTCCGCAGGTTCTCCATGATTTGCCCATGGCTTTCCCCATGGCTTTCCCCGGCCTGTTCTGCATCCCACTGGAGAACTGGTTCCAGCGCCCCTGGGCGTCTTGACGATCCCCACACCTGGACGGCGTTCTAGCGGTTTTTGGCACCCATGGATTGGATGCTGAAAAATGGTGGAAAAATGATGGAAAAACCTACAATAAGTGGCTGAATTAACTATGGTTTATGGATGTAAAAATGGTAGATATTTCACGAACTGTTGTTAACGGGGCTTATAAACCAACTTATAACATCTTGGGGGCACCAAGATGTAAGATAGTCATAGATATTCAGGATTTTTCTTCAAACGGAAAGTCTTCACTTCGAAGCCAGGTCTCCGATAATTATGTTTGTAGTAGCTTCTATCTTTGAGTCCCGGGGTCCCCGGTTATATTTACTGGGATGCAACCAACCATACGTCAGGATTTGGCTTTGTCAATGGGGAATACCACCATTTCACGATGCTGAAATACGTGAAATCCATGAATCGAATGAGAGTGCAATTTCTCCCCAAAAAGATGCTGAAAGAGTGAAAACTTGAAGCTGTTCGATCTTTTTATTATAATTACAACATTATGACACATGTATATAGGTTCATGTATGTTCATGATTGGATTCCTGGACCCATCAAGAATTGGGATGCAAATCTACAAGACCATCTTCTCAAGTTAAGCCATGAAAACTACCCCCTTTTGTTTCATGAGTTTTCCCATCCCATTGGTTCAGTGAATGGGTATGCCTATGGATCACAATCCCAAACCAGTTTTGACCAATCAACGGTGACATTTTTCATGGATCGCTTGGGGATCACCAAGCTCCAGGTCCCCCATCAGCGCCTGTGATTGATGACGATGTCGGCGAGGCATCGGATGCCGTTCTTGTGACACTTTTCCAACCTGGGCCCAGCTTGACTCGCCACCCCGAGGCGTTGGAGAACCCAATGATTTTTTTCACCAGTGGAGAACCCGGTGTGCCTTGGGGAGTGTCATGTTCCAGACATCGTTGGGGGATCGGAACGGGACAGATTCGCCATCCATGTGTTTCGGTGGGTCAAGTCATTGGGTAGAATATGTTTCATAAAATGCCCATCTGCAGTTCATCTTCATCCCAGCACCCAAGCGTTCCCATCATCTAAGCCACAGATCTTCCAGAGCTTGTTGTGATCCATACTTCGAGCCATCCAAGTTGAAGAGTTGCGAGGGCAAATATCCCTGGCCACAGGGAAACAGAGCCAAGTCCTGAAAGAATCTGCCACTTGACTAAGCCTTACTAGCGTTGTTTTGGTCACGTCTCCTGCTCTAAAGTGTCCATCACTCAGGGCCTTGGACAAATTGTTCGAAGATCATTCTTCCGCTTGGCAATAAGCATCTTTGAGGGTTTTACTTCGGTTTTTCAGGTATAGTAACGTCATCAAGTTTGCCTGAGCCACTCACTCCAAAAAGATTCCAGTTAGACAGGATAACCATCCCATTCTCTAGAAGTGGAAATCGACAAAAAAGATAGCCGGACAAAATGACGCAATGGTTTTCGAAACTACCAACCATGTCATATCTACAATTCTTTTCCTTGGCGTTTCATCCACAATTTTTGATGGCAAACGTCCCATTTTCCACGCTCAAGCCTTCCATCTGTGTGATCAACATCCATCGTTGGGATTCTTCGATCATCCCAAAAAAAAAAACAGGGATGAAATCTCCACTCAAAAAAACTACATCAATGATCACTGGCAATGATCATGAACCAGTGCTGGTGTTATTGTTCTTATAATATCGCTATAGCCAATCACAATTAATTACCAGTATGGTTGTCTATGCTTGCTAACAACCAATCACAATTCGTGGTTAACTAACGATCAACCAACAGTTTTGGGGAACTAACAACCAATGATGTGTTAACTAACGACCAAGCAACGTCGCAACGTCAACAGCGTTGGGATCTGCCTGCGGAGCCACTGACTGTGAGCACGGGGGAAGCCACAAATCGGTGAAGCCCATCTCCTTGGCCAGGAGCTCGACGGTCAAGGTTTTCTTGGTAAAAGCCCTAAAAAAAGATAGAAAACTGGATGATGACTTAAAGTTTAGCAAAATCTTTGCTTTTTCAAATGTTTGATTCTCTTTGGGGTTGCTATATCTCAATGATTTTCTCATGAGTTCATAGTCATGTCCTTTGTTTCTTGGTCTTGGCATGTTTTGTAGCGGTAATTGCGATAGACAATTGTAGCTCTGTTTTCCCGGGATGTCCCAATTCCTAGTCATCGAACCCTTTCCGATCATCTGCAAATTGGGTAGTACGTGATGTTGTTCATTCCATGAAATACGGGTTGCTTGAGAACGGGATTCCCATACATGTCCGTGTCCTGTATGTAATATATATATATATATGTCTGCATTAATGGTTCTATTTATATATATACTGGATTATGATCATCCACAACATACAACGGGGAGAACACCCGAAAATCAATCAGCGTGTGTCGCAGCCAAGTCACATGGAAGAGCTGCACCTTCTTCCCCACTGCCTCGGCCAAGTGGGTCAGAGTCAAAACACTGGTTCCCTACCCTAAAATATCTGGTTTCTGGATGGTTAATGATGGGAATAGTTGGGTTAATGATGGTTAATAGCTGGTTTCTGGATGTTCATTCCCCCAACTATGGCAATAGGAAATGGTTAATAGGTGTTGAACCATCCCCATTTTGATGAAATGAGGAATGTCATGGGGATGTCATGGGGCACCCTCTTTCCAAACCCGTATTGGATGTGTTGGATCTAAGAAATGAAACAGGATGGTGCCCCCCAGTGATGTTTGTTGGTATATAAACCCCATGAATACTATAGTTATATCTACCATAAACCATAGTTATGGGAGTTATGTGCACCAACTTAGCTAACTATGGGGCACCACCTTGTAGAGATCAACTGTGATTGGGATCAGACTAGCAGCGAAACTGAGATATATTGGTCATGTTCAGCCAGGATTCATAAACAACTGTTGCGTTAGTAATATGCCCAAACAAACTGATGGTCATTACATGTAACCAACAAAAAAAACACACATTTTTGGCCATGGGCAATCATTGTCATCCACTTGGATGCCTCACTGGTTGTATCATTTAGATTGATGGCTACCCTGCAATAAATTAACATATATAGATATGGAAAACCCACCATGAATGTGGAACATTTTGGGAACAGGAAACCATGGTTGTGTTCCATATCTACGGCAGTTTGCATCCATGATATTCCATAGTCTCCCATGATGTTCTCTTGAAGTAGTTGGATTTATACCCATCAATAACCCAGTGACTCCCATACGGTCATATATGGCTGGATATTATACATAAACATATAAATATATATATATATATATCACGACTCCCTTAGTACCTCGGGGCCCCAAAAATGTACTGTAAATGTTTGCTTGCTCCACACCTGCATTTCAGAACAACGCAAGAATTGAGCTCTCCCAATCGTCCGCAGGTTGTTGGGGTCCCCATTGTATCCCATTATTGTTGCTGATACTGCAAAATCAGCAGCCCAGTGGCGCTGTAGAAATCCCCTCCGCCGGCGCGCCAGCTTTCCCAGTTGAAGCCTGGCTCTGGATGGTATGAAAACTGTCATCTATCATGTGAATATGTATAAAGAACATGAAGAGAATTCAACAAAACCAACATGAAACTGAAAGACATTCCATATTCAGAGTTTGTCCAACTCTGTGCTTTGGAGACCTAACATGAAACCTTCGTGACCATGAAAGTTTCACAAGCAGCGACCCTGCCACGTCACTCTTGGCCGCTGGCAGGATCCCCCAGCAATGAAACGGTAGCATCACCACAGCGCAGGAGCCGAGCCTTGTAGCATGACCATCTTGGATGGGTCCACTGTGTCCTGCGCCGACACGAATTTTGGGCGAAGCAGAGTCAGGGCCTATAGTTTTTCAATGGGACTTTGACCCACATGGCTATGGGTCAAAACCCTGGTACCTAGTGAACCCCAAAATAGCTGGTAAATGGATGTTCATCCCACTAAAAATGTATCTATAGTAGGTATTGACCCATACCCACATCCATCTCGAATGACAATCCCGGATTGATCAAACTCTAGTTGATTTTTGATCAATTAGGAGGTGTCTCCCCCCAAATAGTGACATAATCCGCTATTCAAATGGGGGTTTCCAATCCATGGGGGTACCCCGAAATCATCCAGTCGTCATGGATGACCATGACTTAGTATTGAAACAACCATGGTTTTTTGTTTGGATCCCCCATGACTCAAGAACCCCCCATGAATTCCTATTGTATTCCCATCATCTTCCCATGATCTTTCCATTAATAAATCCCATTAAATCCCATTAAATCTCATGATTAATTATTTTCCCATCACATTCCCATGAATTCCCATGATCTTCTCATTTATAAATCCCATAAAGACCCATCAAAACCCACTACATCCCATGCAAATCCATTAAAACCCATTGAAACCGATTAAATCCCATGCAATTCCTCATTAAAACCCATTAAATCCCATGATCTTCCTATTAAATCCCATTAAACCCCCTAATGGTACCCCCCCCTCCCCAAATGGTAGATCAACAGCCCAGCCGTAAACGCGTCCGTAATTTTGGCCATCCGCTCGATGAGCTGGGTGCTCTTCATCTTGCGCTGCAACCTGCGCCAAAAATCTGGAGAAGTGGGGGATAGGTGTACTTTACAATATGTATATATATATATATACATACTGTATGCATGTATGCATGTATGCATGTATGCATGTATGCATGTATGCATGTATGCATGTATGCATGTATGCATGTATGCATGTATGCATGTATGCACGTATGTAGGTATGTAGGTATGTAGGTATGTAGGTATGTAGGTAGGTATGTAGGTAGGTATGTGTGCGTGCACATGCATGCATGCATGCATGCATGCATGCATGCATGCATGCATGCATGTATGTATGTATGTGTGTATATATATATAATAATTATACATGTAATTGTACATATACTTGACTCCAATGTAGACCATAACTTGCTATACCCCTTTAATGCTAATAACTTGCAGGCCAAAGGGAGCGGCAACGCCTGCGGCAGAAATTCAGAAATTGTGGGTCAAAATAGCGGGCCACCCTCCAGCCACTTTTCCCCGAACTAACTTTTGCAGCTCGGGCGGGTTCCGGGATGTCCTGGGAGAACCTGGGTGGTGTTTTCTGCGGTTTTGTGGGGGTTTCCGGGATTCTGGGTGGTGTTTTCTGCGGTTTTATGTGGGTTCCGGGATTTCCTGGGAGAACCTGGGTGGTATTTTCTGCGATTTTGCGGGACTTCCGGGAATTCCTGGGAGAACCTGGGTGGAAACGGTTGGAGATTTCCTGGGCCTGGGAGAACCTGGGCGGACTTAGGCGGACCTGGGCCGACCTGGACGGGGTTTTCCTGAATAAACCACGCATATGTAAACCAGAGCAGAATTGTATAAAACACCACTAACGAATAGTGCTGAGCGAACACCGTTTTGATATGTATCCTGCACCATTCAAAAACCAATTTTAACACCCAGAAACCCTCAAAAAATTAACCCCCAGGCCCCAGAATCCTGATTTATATTATATGCATTAGAGGGGTTGATCAAACCATAACTTTAATGTATAGAAATAGGAAAGTAGCTTGAGACTTCAAACACAAAGAAAGGAACACGTCGCTCCTGTGCCTTTGTTGGGGGGGGCCCACCACACGTTGTTCCGCTGCGGCCTGTTCAACTTGGCTCGTTCTTCAATGGCATCCAACTCCTGGCTCAAAAATAAAAAACATACCCTCTGCTTATTTAACAGTTTGCTATTGAAAATCTCCCATTTATATGTGATGCTTGCTATTAACATTGTGATTTTCTATAGTTATGTTAGCTTGCCAGATGGTATATGTTCTTGGGGGAGTAACACATATTTGCGAACCATACAAGTGATGGTGTTTCTAATTTTAGGGGGATGGATCCCTTTTGAAAAATCGGTTGGTAGAACCTCAATCTCTAAACATCTCGGTATATGATTTATGTCAACCAATCCCATTACCCTTGGACCAAGCATCTAAATTCATATTGGTTGGTATGACCATCCCCAATCCAGGCAATTTACATCAATTTAGTCGAGTTTTGACCATTGCACATATTGATATATATTGTATTATTGTGGCAATATTTAAAATTAAAAAAATGGCAAAACTCACTGTTGACAAACGAACACCAATCTGAAATGATAGGAGTAGATCGGTACCGCGACCCATTTTTGGGGGCATTGGCCAACCAATAGAGGGGACGGGACCCATTTTTATTCAACACAGCAGAGGCGAGACTGTGGTAAACCTAATGCCATTTATGCCATCCCCAATATTGTTATAAAATGTTACAAATGTATGGGGCAATAGACCCCAAATGTTTATGGCATTCGGTTTACCACATCAATGTAACTAAAAAAATGATACCATATATTTGCTGATTCCGCCAAGTACCATTTTGCGGAGGGAAGAACAAGAAGCAGATTGCAAATTTAAACGTAGTAAGTATTTAGTTCACCGATCAGTTGCAGTTCCCACCAAGCCCTCCAACGAAAATATCAACCCAGGCCAAGGACTCAAAAATGGATCGCTGCAGTTCTTTTGAAAGACATATCCATTCATGGTGGTCGAGGGGAAATTCTTTGAATGGCCCTGGCAAACTCGCACCCCGTGGACTCAAAGAATAGTTTCAAATACAGGTGACCAAACCTCAGGTGTTCCCATATTTTCATCCCATATTTTCATCAGATTTCATCAGTTCCATGAGTTCCATTCCCAAGAAAATGTATCAACATGTCGTGACCTTCCCTTGCTGCCAGATGCGAGATCCTTTTCATGCTCCACGGCGGATTCGTGGAACTGGCGGAAGTCGATCAGCAACAAGCTGGGCGTCCTGGCGGAGGTTTCAGGGGGATGGAGGTTTCATCCTGGGGAAAACAGTCAGAAATGCCTGGGAAACGCTAACGATGAACATCCATAGGAAACTCAACAACCACCATTTAGGAATCCAAAAAATGTATGAAAATGTGTGTTTTTTATCAATGATTTAACATGATTTAGCTGTAACACCACGGGAAAATTACATGTTTTTTGTGGAATTCGACATATACCATAGTGGGTTTGGCAGGAACCAGCCAGCCACATCCGGCCATGACTTCCTAAGAACCATGGCTTATTCTTGTGCTAATATGGGTGTCTTGAATTAGCGCACCCCATTCCATCCACTGTTCGAAAACCTCATGTTCCCTGTTAAGATCCTATAAATTGGGTTATACCCATTTTCACACACATCAATATAACTGAGAATGTTATTTTGTCCATTCTGTTCCCAACTATAGTGGGCTGGCTAGAAGTGATAAGCAAATATTCATAGTGCCATACAGTGTATAATTATATATGAACCACTTACCAACTGCTACTAACTGTGATGTACATCCAATTCAGATGGAAAAGCTTACGATATTTGTGAAGCCGCCAGCCATGGTTGACCAGTAAAAAAAGATTGTGTTTTCACCAACAAACATATCGGGTAGTTGACCGACAAAAATGGAGTTTAATTCACCAAAGAAAAAGTAAGACTTACCAACACTCTAATGAGGTTGGTGGAATAACTTCAACTCAACGACCATCTTACAATCATCCGCAGATAGAATCTCCCAAGTGGGGCCTTCACAAACCGTGAAATCCCTGTGACACACTCCTCCCAAACTATAGATACACTCTTGAAGTGGGACATTTGCCAACCCAATAGGGCGCAGCAAAAAGCGTCACCAGGGTTTCAAATATGTTTATCGAGGGTATCACGCATGACACAGGCAGATGAGGTCGATATGTGAGCTGAAACTAACTTCGATAAGGGGAGATGGGACCCCTCTGTCGCTTGAAGGCTCCATGGCCATGGAAAAATCCATCGTGAATCGTCCCTTCAGGATGGAAACTCCCAAAAAAAACGGCGCCAGTATGCCAGAACTCGCAAAAATATCCGAAAATCCATGAATATCTTGCAACAAAAAAAACTACTCAACTACTTAACAGCAAAATCCAAGTGAAATCATGGTTCTTGATTCAAATCTTCTATCTTTGTTCATCCCAAACAAAATAAGCCCAGTTTACCATGGCCCCCAGGAGGTCCCGTCCCACCGCACCTGGACATCTCTTCATTCACCAAGCCGTTACGGGTCTTGCAGAGGTGCCGGCTGCCGCGGCGGTTCATGGAGGATCCCGTCTCCATCATCCTGGCGGCCGGCGGCCTTTTTAAAAGTGCCGCAATGGCTGATACATATCATGAATGATCTGAGTGGCCAAGGTGATGTTATATATAATATAGTGTGTATATATATATATATGTATATGTATGTGTCTATATATATATACATACATAATAACAGGTGTGTATATATATATTACAGCCAGGAAAACTTTGCTCTTCTGGTGGATATGTCTAATAATTATATTACTATACATAATTATGTATATATACGGATATATATATATATAGAGGAAAACTTGAGATTTATATTACCTACCACGTTGATAAACAAATGCCACTGACGCAATTGATGATGACCAACTGTGGATTTGGCGTTGGAATCCCATCTTTTGTTGGCAAAGTTGGCATTGCTGATACCCTCTCCCGGAAAGAAATATGACATATAAATACCCTCTGGTAATTTAACATAGCTATTGAAAATGGCAATTTATAGTGAGTTGTCCCATTAAAAGTTGTGATTTTCCATAGTTATGTTAGTTTACCAGAGGGTACATATTGAAATGAACAACATCAAAGCCAAACAGCTTGGTAGGAGAATCGGCCAAACCAAAAACAAGCTCATATTGTATGTGGTTCAACGCCTCATCCACTTCCAATTATCTTTTCCTAGAACTTCTGAACACAGGGAGTTCATTTATTTATATATGGAGGTTTCCTGGAATGTGGGTACCCCTAAATCATCCATTTATAATCGGATAATCCATATTGTTGGGGTACCACCCGTTTATGGAAACCCCCATATTATTACGTATATCATCCGATTATTATCCCATTGTCCCATTCTATCCCATTGATTACCATTTATAGATGATTTTCCACTATTAAATATATATATAATATACCACTAATCTGAAATAAGGCTATAGTGGGAAAATTCCCGCTACTAGCCATGATTGTTTAAAAAAAAACAGAAAACCCATTCATATCCCATTTATAGATGATTGTCCCCTATTAATAATATATACATATATATATATATATCAATCACTAACCTGAAATAAGGCTATAGTGGGATCATTCCCCTTACTAACCATGTTTGTTAAAAAAATATCCAGAAAACCCATTCATATCCCATTTATAGATGATTTTCCACTATTAACATACATCTGGGGGGGTCTTAAAATGGGGGAATAGGTTTCAATTTGTCTAATTTTGGATGATTTAGGCCTACTTCTAGTTTCGGAAACCCCCATAGAACTATGATTCTTACAAAAAATCCCAGAAAAAATCCCCCAAAAATATCCCATTGATAGAATATGTTTTTTTCCACTCTTAACCCTATATATACAGTACCCTCTGGTAATTTGTTACATAGCTATTGAAAATGACCATAGAAATAGTGAGTTTTCCCATGAAAAATGGTGATGTTCCATAGTTTTTTTCTATGTTTACCAGAGGCTAAATCCTATAAATCCATAGTTCAACCCCATATATTTCCATATATTTCCATAGGATTTCTCATATTTTCCATATATTTCCCATTGTAGCTGGTGGCTACCCCAAGCCGTCCATCCGTGCCTCGTCAGCGGCCCATCCCTCTCCGAGCCGCCGGAGCTGGCGCGGCGGAACTGGGCGAAGCCAGGCCACTGCTGGGGATGAAGCTGGCGGAAAGCCATGGGAAAGCCATGGGAAAATGGTGATTTAATGGTGATTTAATGGGATTGAATGATGATTTACCATCTGGTTATGATGATGGTTAATAATCATAATGGTTGATATATATATATGGTTATGAGGATGGTTTTCATGATGGTTAATAATGATCTGGTTGGTGTTATATAATGTTACCATCTGGTTATTACTAACAGTTTGCCATGGAAAGATCCACCATGCTATTAGTAGGTAAACCATCTATTTCTATGGGCCATCTATACCATGGCTATGTTAAATAACCAGAGGGTAACTATTTTAGCCACAAAAAAAATAGGACAAATAGGGGTTTCATGAAATTGATCGCTGATTTCTAATAGCTACGTTGATGCTTATTTGCCTTGGTTAACGTTTGGGTTGATTAGGGGTGGCTCAGCTGGGAGATCCACGGGCAAACTGAGACTCCCAGACGTCACCAGGCAGCTCCCCTACACGGTCGCCATCTTCCTTGGTGATGAAACATATTAAAAACACCACAGTAAATCAGAATATGTCAGAATATGTAACTGAATATTAGTGACATTGTCATTTCGCCAGAGTTTTAACTGTTTGCCGATTCTTTGATTTTATTGGTGATGTTCAGTGATGTTTCAGAATATGGTGCCCCTCGCCCAGGAGCTTACAAACTAAAGATCAGGCACAACCGGGCGTCTTAACGGGAACCCTGCCTGTGACCAACCATGACCCACCCAAAAACCATTTGGAATCATTGGATGGCTTGAAGGGAAAATGTCGAAAAAACTGATGGGAAAGCTGCATTAAAAAAGACATGGTTTCCTGTAGATGTTCCCTTCAACCAATCCAATAAGTCGATCACCCAGTTAAAAAACACAGGAATCCAAAGTGCAAGGTCCGTGTCAATGATGTGAACATCACTTTTTGCTGGTGGTTAAAACTTCATGAATCCGTGGTTCGAAACTCCACTTCCGATTTCCTGGATCATCCGATTTTGGAGTTGAACGGAACATCAAAACTTAAAAGTCCCTATGTTTGATAGTAAAGCCAGCCAGTTTCAACCGCAGATTTTCCCAACAAAACGATAACCCATTGATCAACCGCTGAAAAAAACCCAAAACCAGGATTGAAAAGTTCTGGTGCCCCTGATTTTTTCCAGTACCCTCTGGCAATCAAACATTGTTTTTTTTGTTCAATCCCCTACATGGAAATCGAGGTAAAAAACGCTGGGAAAATCAACGCTGACCGTCACGATTTTCGGCGGAATTTCCAGCCATTTCTTTGATTCCCAGAGGGTAACCAAACATGGATTTCATGGGTTTCTCTCTCAGAGGGAGACTTTATTGAGGAGATTTTATGGGATATGATTGATATCATGGACGATATCGAGATATTTACTGGGATTTCACCAACAAAAAACATTGCTTTGTAATGAAGAAACATGGGGGACACCCCAAAAAAACTGCTGGTCAATCCCATCCCTTCCCACGGTCAATCTTTGTCCACAAAAACTGAAAAATCATCTGCTAGCTGGTGATTCAGTTTAATTCTCCAAATTTTTATAGCAAAAAAAAACATATTCAGAAAAACTAATGTTCTCAATCCAAGGTCGGTTATATGTTTGATACCTATAATTTTTATAATAAACTAAAGGATTCAACTACCTATCCAAGGTCCTAGCTATGTTCTCAACATTGCCCAAAAGAATTCCAAAATGGCATCGAGGATGCCACTCAGCCCAGAAGCGTTGAAGCCAGGCTGACCCCAACAACAATTCACCGACATCTTTACCTCGGTACTGTGAATGAGGCAGCTATGCAAATGGGGGATATACATCTTATTATTGGCGGATATGAGGCTATGAGGTGATATTAGTTGATGTTAGTTGATATTAGTTGGATGTTAGTTGATATTAGTGGGATGTTAGTTGGTGTTAGTTGGATATTAGTTGATGTTGGTTGGTATTAGTTCATGTTAGTTGATATTAGTTGATATTAGTTTATTTTAGTTGATATTCGTTGATATTAGTCAATGTTGATGTTAGTTGATCTTAGATTATGTTAGTTGATGTTAGTTGGCACTAATTATTAATTGATATTAGTTGGTCTTAGTATGTCTTAGTCAATATTAGTTGTATTAGTTGATGTTGGTTGATATTAGTTGATATTGGTTCAAACATGAGCCATGGGGGTATCAACCAACATCCACCAACGATGAGAGACTTGGATAAACTGTTCCCATGTTCCCAGACCGATTGGATTTAAACCACGTAAATTGGAAACAACTTGGATGATACCTTGGGGCCCCCCAACTATTGGATCTATTGGGGTTTAAACCACCCATCTGTGATGAGTAAAGCCTCATCTTTTCGGTCAAATCAGCATAGATTTCATCGTTTTTCATGGTGAAACAAGCGCGTTTTTGATGGTGAAACCCACGATCACCAGGATCCATCATGGTAGGAACCCAGATCCCCAGTGGGCCCAGATCCCGATGGATCTCGATGGATCCAGATCCGGCCTCCTTGGTGGACACTTCCAGGAGCCGGTTCTGGCCGTGCTCCCATTTCTTGCCGCCGGGACCGCGGATCACCATCTTGAATTCACTCCTGCCGGGTCAACCGGGGGAACCGGGGGATAGAATGGTGCCATGACCAAATAGTGGCTTCAGAAGAGGAATAACAACAATCATATGGAAGTTGTTCGGTAAGAAACATAGTATCAATGACGGAAAATTGACAATTGTTGAGTCATGGTTGTAGTTATAGTACAGTAGCGGTAATGATGAATCATTTTATATCATTTTATGGTATAATGAACCCAATGCCGTAAATGATAACCATGAGCCGCTGGTCATTCTTTACTGTGGCCAAGCAGCCGAAAGGACCCGGCTCGGAGCTGATTTTGCCTTCTGTTGGATAGATCCCACCAGCGGTCCATCAGAAAAACATCGAAAAACATCGAATATATGGGTATGGATCAAGACGTTGATGGGTCCTGGTTCACTGGTTCTCATACCAAAATTTCAATAAAATATCATTCAAGAAATATTCAGAAATCATATCCCCATTTCTCGGACAGATACACCCTGAATCTCATCGCTTGATCCTCTCAAGTCCAATTTTTGCACCTTGGTGATGCGTCGACGCCGCCTCCAGAAGCATCAGCCTTTTTCGCGTAGCACCCGGTCTTCATGCCACAAGTCGCACTCAACTTCCGGTGGTGCATCATGTTCGTCATCCTTGTCCAAGACCTCGGGCTTAGTTTCTTTATCCTCTGTGACCTTCTCGGGTTCGGTCAACTCGGGCTCCTGTGGACAGCCATCTGCTGCGGTGATGTGCCGCGGCGGCCCTTCTGAGCGATTTGGGACCCTGCCTGCACCAGGCAGGGGTCCCAACAAGCTCAGAAGGGCCAGGAAGCAAACAACTCGAATCATCTTTGGAAAATCGTTGAGCCAACCTCTCGCAACATCTCGAATCATCTCGCAACTCGAGTCAATCCGCACGTTGCAGCTCAAGGCCAATCTTGAATTTTGTTGCTGCTTAGGAAGTTTAGGATTGATATATCCCCATTTATTTATATCCATTTATAGCAACAGATTAATTGCGGATTAGACTCCCGTCCAGCTGGTTTCTCGAGATCTGATCTGGTTAAATCCGCGTTTTCGATCGTTAAATCACCAGTTTCACTGCTTCAATCCGTGTAAAATCGGTCATTTCACCTGGGAACCCCCCGGATCTTTGGGTCCGTCCTGCTGCCATTGGGCAGATTCACCGGACTGGACGTCCATCGGGGGAAGCGGTCCGCGCTGGTGGTGCAACGAAGAGCCTGGCGAGAAGTTCAGGACACGGCGGACACGGTGCCAGTGGATGGGATGTGTTTGATGACTTCGGTGAAATGTGGAAAACCCATGGGGCAACCGGAAAATGATCTACATTCATGGTTTCATGATGGATAAACATGGATAAACTCCATGGGGATGGTGCTATGGATGAAGTGGTTTGATATTTTACGGGCCTGGATCATGGGGAAATTGATGATGAACCCTTGCAACAAAATATTGCCATAAGCAGTGAAGAAACGATTATACCAGACTAGATTCGAATCTAGACATCCCATGTTACTACTCTCTTGTAATTTGACTTCACTATGGACAAACAAAACGTTTTGAATATGTGAATATATGTGAATGATCTACATAATTATAAAATGGGCCGTCTGTACGATAGCAACTGCAAGAAATTGAGTGTCCTTGGTCTATACAATTTTATATACCCATCATTACCCATCTAACTATACGTATTCTACCACAGACCCAACAGTTCACCTCGTTATGTTTACCAGCTTAGCAAACATAGATCAGCTATATATATATATATATCAAGTCCCTAAGTCCCTGTTCTGGCTGAATTCTAATGCGTCACTGACCTGAAAATAGCTGAAATCAGGCCACCCGTCTTCGCATTCGGCCCGTCCCCCACGATGCAAGGAAGATGATGTTTCCACCATTTATAGTGAGTTATCTTAGTTATTTTCCATAGTTATGTTAGTTGTCCATTTATTGTCCCATCTTCCATTGGCATTTCTCTTCGGCGCGTTTCGCCGCAACGAGCGCCTCGTTGGGATCCCAAGCGCCCAAGCGCTTGTGCGAACCCACCACATAGACCTCCTCACCTGCCATCTCGGGGCTGGGACTTGCCATGAAAATTGCTGGTCCCATCCTCATCTTGTAAAACATACTTGAAATTTCATGTGTTTGGGTTTCACCTGCTGCAAATTTCGGGTCACTTGTGGGATGGGTTCCGAACAGAACTCCCATCCCTTCGGTGAGGTCGCTGTGGAAACCAAGGAGATTTTCAGATGCTTCACTGGTCCATATCCTGAAGGTTGGTTTGATGATGTTTGATTTATTTCCCATGTGATGTATGTTTCATGCGCCAATTTTCTTCACCTGTCAATCACAAAAAAAATCGGGTCCACCGTGGCATCACCAAAAAAAAAAACGTGACCAGCGGTCAAAACATTTGGACCCATTGCATCCATCATACGAAATGATCATCTTTTTGAAGTGTGGCCATGTTGGTGGTCCATGTGTTTTGAACATTGACCCAAGCCCTAAATCATGATGCCCATGTGTGTATGTATATATATATATACAACCGTACCCACTGATGGATTCACAATCAGATATTGTATCAAAATCCCACCGACTATCTCCATGTTTGTTGGTAAACATGCCATATCCCCTCCTATAATCAAACAGGGTTCGCTGGGAAATCCCCTATAAAATCGCATTTGAACAGGAAAATCATTGAACTGAAGCAGCCATGCTTGATTGGCGGGTATGTTTGTTGCTCAAATTCCCCACCGAAATGTGTTGAATTTCAGGTACCCCCATCCCAAAATCCCTCGGGCATCCCTTTTTACTGGTTGCTTAAGAGGATTTCGATGGATTTCCCATAATATATATATATACATATATATATATATATGGTTGGTGGTTTCTGCCCCTCTTAAAAATATTAGTCAGTTGGGATTATTATTCCCAATATATGGAAAAATAAAAAAATGTTCCAAACCACCATACATACATATATATATATTAGATTACTGGATGGTGACTATTATCATTATTACTATCATTATCATTATAAATTATTATCCACATACATTGAACAGTACAACCAGATAGTAAAACCCAATTTCCCGTATTGGATTGTGATTATTCCCCATGTAAAGGTTGTACGATAGCCCCCAAACTAATCATCAACAGGAGTGTCTTGCCGCTCAAGTGATGGCTTTCCAAGGCTTTCCATGTTAATGTCAACCCTGAATTAATAAACCCCTAGACTGTTTAATTGGGAGGGTACCATTTAAGTATTAGATTATGATTATTTGAGGAGTACCCCCCTAACTAATAAATCATTGCTTATTAATCCGGGGTTGACATTAAACTGCAGGGGCGACTTCCTCCCCATCCCCAACCAGTTGAGCGGCCGTGTTCGGTGCACGAGCACTCCACCACAAAGGTCACGGCCACGGTCGCCATGGCTTTTTGCAACAGCGTTGACGACGGCGGTGAGTTTTCAGCACCCGTGATGTACCTGGCAGAACCAAAGGAAAACAAGAAAATCGTGTCCAAGGATTAGAGAAATTATGAGAAATTGCAGAAGATGTTTCCGGAAGCACCCATATGTTCGCAGATTGTGCTGTACCAAAAAAAATGCCTTAGTCACTTCGTGATCGAATATGTCCTTCTGCTCATGTGTCGCGGATCCCACTGCTTGAAAATCACTGCGAACGAATGGTTTTTTGGCATCTGCACCGCGAGTGCTCTCCTGGTTTGACATGGCATGACATGGCTACTGCGATACCAAAGGGACCACGCATTTGCCCATTTTGCCCATTGGCTGTATGGAATAACCCATTTTGGGTGTCCTTTTTTGGCTGGAATTGTGCATCATGAACACTCTTGTCTCCTTGACTCTGTCTTGACTATCATCAGTCTCAAGGTAATCCCATCTCCCAATATACATACAGTATGTATATATATATATATACATACCAGTAGTACCGCACAAGGCGGTGGCGGAAGTTTCAAAAATAGAAAACCTATAGGAGAGGTTGGTTGTTGTGAATCAGGGATGGCAAAGCGAATCCACTGATGGACCGAAAGGTGCTTGAGGTTTCCTCTCTGTCTCTCTCTTTCTCTGACTATCTACTTACCTACCAGCCTATCTTCTATGTATCTATCTATCTATCGATCTATCTATCTCTCTCTTTCTCTCTTTCATCTAATTACCTATCTACCTATCTACCTATCTACCCATCTACCCATCTACCGATCTACCGATCTACCGATCTACCGATCTACCGATCTACCTATCTACCTATCTACCTATCTACCTACCTACCTACCTATCTATCTATCTATCTATCTATCTCTCTCTCTCTCTCTTTCATCTGTCTATCTGTCTATCTGTCTAGCTGTCTACCTGTCTGTCTATCTATCTATCTATCTATCTATCTATCTGTCTATCTGTCTATCTGTCTATCTGTCTATCTGTCTATCTGTCTATCTGTCTATCTGTCTACCTGTCTATCTGTGGTGCAGTGTCATTCAGTGTATTGTAGTGTAGTGTAATGTAGTGTAGCGTAGTGGAGTGTAGTGGAATGTAGTGTAGTGTAGTGTAATGTAGTGTAGTGTAGTGTAGTTTCGTGTAGTGGAGTGTAGTTGTGTAGTCGTAGTTGTAGTTGTAGTGGCGTGTAGTGTAATGTCGTGAGGTGTAATGGAAGGTAGTGTAATGTAATGTAGTGTAGTGTAATGTAGTGTCGTGTAGTGTATTTAGTGTAGTGGAGTGTAGCGGAGTGTATTGTAGTGGAGTGTAGTTGTGTAGTTGTAGTTGTAGTTGTAGTGGAGTGTAGTGTAGTGTAGTGAAGTGTAGTGGAAGGTAGTGCAGTGTAGTGTAATGTAGTGTAGTGTAGTGGAGTGTAGTGTAGTGTAATGTAGTGTAGTGTAGTGTAATTTAGTGTAGTGGAGTGTAGTGGAGTGTAGTGGAGTGTAGTTGTAGTTGTAGTGTTGTGTAATGTAGTGTAGTGTAGCGGAGCGTAGTGTAGTGGAGTGTAGTGTAGTGTAATGTAGTGTAGCGTAGTGTAGTGAAGCGAAGCGACATCTGAACCTCCAAAAGTGGTCCGAACCCCTGGTGTTTTTAACATTTTGACTTCGAAATGTGCTTCGCGCCACAACGGCGTGCACTTGTTCAACATCTGAACCTCCAAAAGTGGCGCGAACATGTGGTGTTTTGTACATTTTGTTTGACTTGGAAATGTGCTTCGCGCCACAACAGCGTGCACTTTTTCGACATCTGAACCTCCAAAAGTGGCGCGAACATGTGGTGCTTTGCACATTTTGACTTGGAAATGTGCTTCGCGCCACAACGGCGTGCACTTTTTCGACATCTCAACTTCCAAAAGTGGTCCGGACCTGGTGTGCTTTGTACATTTTGACTTGAAAATGTGCTTCGCGCCACAACGGCGTGCACTTTTTCAACATCTCAACTTCCAAAAGTGGTCCGAGAATGGTGTGTTTTGTCCATTTTGACTTCAAAATGTGCTTCGCGCCACAACGGCGTGCACTTTTCGACATCGCAACTTCAAAAAGTGGTCCGAACCTGGTGTGTTGGCTTGTACATTTTGACTTCAAAATGTGCTTCGCGCCACAACGGCGTGCAATTTTTCATCACTCATCTGGCCAGCTGGCTCCGCACCCGCCGCTTTAGCGAGCCTACTTTTCGACCGTCCGGAGCCACAAATCATTGGAAAAACACAGTGTTTCGCGACTTTCCTACCTTTTCACGCATCTGCATCTTCTTTCTTCTTACTCTTTCTCTTCTACTCTTCTTTCTTCTAATCTTCCTCTTCTCTCTGCCTCTTCCCTGCTCTGCTTTTCATCTGTCCATATTGTCGGAAGTTTGACTTCTAAACTTCCTTCGATTATAAATACCTCCCCACAAACAAACCCTGGTTTAGTATTGGATCTGTTCATTTTGGGGTTCCTTAAAGTCGGGTGATTCCTAGCCTCATGCCCTGCGTGTGTCACGGCGGCTTCGGATCTCCCAACTTTTGCGCAGTCGAAATGCCATGTTTCACACTCCGAGCTGAGCGGTCATTGCAGGGCACGAACCAGCTGGTACATGCTGGTAGCAGATAGACCAAAGAGCCCTTTAGCGGCAAGTTGGGCTTTTGGTCGAGGAAATGCTGTTGCTGAATTCAAAGATCGAACTACGTCATGCAACTGCCAGGGATCATTTTGATCTCCTTTTCTTCGCTTTTAGGGATCAATGGACCGGACTTTTCCTCGCTCCAGTAATCACAGCCACAGGCCGCAACCCAAGCTGGAGATATGTATGCAGCGTTTGATCACCATCTCTACTTTCAACCATCAAAGCCAATCTCCTATTCGAAATGCGCAGCTCTTTCCATCAAAAACCAGATTTCATGAGATTTCAGGGCCAACTCTTGGCATCCCTTGGTACCCCGTTGGTCCCCCGGTCCCCCTATGATGGTCTCCCTGGGCTGCTCATCCCCACACGGGCCGATAGCTCTCCCCGCCCAAACGGCGCGGCTTCTCCACTGGAGCTTCGGGTTCCATACCAGGGCCGGCGGGAACAAAGCCGTTGGGCCTCGGTGGTAGCTGATCACCCGAGACGCGACGGGAAAATCACATAGATCACATTGGATACTGTTGGGTTTGCGAATTGATGGTTTGTCCCCCTCCAAAACTGACGGTTTTCACAGGCTAAAACCTGATGTTTTCCCATTTCAAGGCTTTCACATACACTGCTGTCTGTAAATTTCTCCAGTTTGTAAAAGATTGTCCTCGGTTGTTTTCCACCTTAAGCCTTAGTTTGTTAGTTTGCTGGAGGCTATTTGGATGTGCATCAAAGCTACATCCTTTCAGAGCTAGAATATGCTAGAAAGTGGCTCAGAGTCGTTCAAACAAGCTCATGATTCCTCCACGACATTCTTTTCAAAGAACCTGCCGGAAGGGCTCAGCATGAATTGATCTATTGTTGCCCATCCAATTACAGATATCTCGTGATATATCCACGAATAAATTCATCCCCTTTCCACCAGACCAGGATCCTGAGGCTTCTGACCCTGGGACCAAGTGCACCGGACCTCCTGACCCGGTGCCAGGGGCCCCGCTGCCTGCCTGGCCGATGTGAAAATTACCGATGGCAAAACAACCCGTAAATCATGGGATACCCCTGATACCCCCAGTTTATATATGGCTAGTCATCGAAAAACTAGACGACGGTTGGCCCGAGAGCGAAAAAGATGTTTTTCAAGCAGCTCTGAGGATGGTAGTCGTAAAAGATAGTCGGTGAATAGTTGGTGAATTTTATATGAGCTATGGAAAGATATGGTGTGAAAAAGTAAGATTGATCAAGAAGAGAATATTTGGTAAAGAGAGAGAGAGAGAGAAAGAGAAAGCAAGAGAGAGAGAGAGAATGAAAGGGGGGGGTAGGAAGAAAACATGAAGAAATGTAATGTGAGCAACAAAAGTGCACAGGAGGCTCAGTGCCATGAGTCTGCGAATGACATGTGCTATCTCATTTTATTATGGTAATTCCCACACACATTGCGGAAAAAGGCGCGGCACCATCATTCCGTGAACGCGAAGAAACGCGACGCTTTTATACAGAGACGCTTTTACACACAGAATCTTTTACACATAAACACTTTTACACACAGACGCTTTCACACAGAGACGTTTTTCATGCACACACACACAGACGCATTTCCACACAGAGACTTTTACACGAAAACACTTTTAACACACAGACGCTTTTATACACAGACTCTTTTACACACATACACTTTTACATGCAGATGCCTTTTTACAGACGCACACACACTTTCACACACAAACGCTTTTACACACAGACGCTTTTGCACACAGACACAGACGCTTTTCCACACAGACCCTTTTACACACAGACGCTTTTACACACAAACACTTTTACACACATACGCTTTTACACACGGACGCTTTTACACGCAAACACTTTTACATACAGGCGCTTTTACACACAAACGCTTTTACACACAGACGCTTTTACACACAGACGCAACGCTTTTACACACAGACGCTTTTACACACAGACGCAACGCTTTTACACACAAAAGCTTTTACACACAGACGGTTTTACAGACAGACGCTTCTACACGCAGATACGTTTTACACACGCACACACGCTTTCACACACAAACGCTTTTACACACAGACGCGTTGACACACAAACGCTTTTACACACAGACGCTTTTACACGCAGATGCTTTTTTACACACGCACACACGCTTTCACACACAAACGCTTTTACACACAGACACTTGTACAGAAACGAAAGCGTCCATCGCAATTTTTCCTCAGTTTTTGACGTCCAACGTCCATTTCGTGCGAAAGGGTTACGATTGACCAAGTAAAATCGCAATTTTTCCTCAGTTTTTGACGTCCAACGTCCATTTCGTGCGAAAGGGTTGCGCGCGACCAATAAAAGTTGCAGTTTTTCCTCAGTTTTTGACGTCCAACGTCCATTTCGTG